GTGAGAGTGAGAGTGAGAGTGAGAGCGGTGACTCTGTGAGAGTGAGAAAGAGAGTGAGGGCAGTGACTGTGAGAGTGAGAGTGAGAGCGGTGACTCTGTGAGAGTGAGAGTGAAAGCGAGGGCAGTGACTGTGAGAGTGAGAGTGAGAGTGAGAGCAGTGACTCTGTTACTCAGTGATGAGATGAGAGTGACAGCATTGACTCTGTTACTAAGTGATGACAGTGAGAGTGAGGGTGGTGCCTGAGTCTCAGTGATGTTACTCTGTTACTCACCGATGTGAGCCACCACCTGTGTGACTGTGGGCTGGAAGAGTTCAGCGATGGCCTGTGGGGTCATCCGCAGCATTCCCTGGGAGGACCACTTGACGAGGTGGGTGCTGTGGGAATGAAGGGAGATGTGAGATTCCAGCCTGGAATCACAGCACATCACACAAACACATGATCCCATGGCTCTCCGTGTGAGACTTGGGAGCACCTGGTGTGTCCTGGGTGGCAGGATACCCAGTCCAGCCTGTCAGCTCTGGTAGAGGGTGCCAGCTCACGGTGGCTCAGTGGTTAGGAACCTGGGTTTGATCCCACCCTCGGGGTGACTGTCTGTGTGGAGTTTGCACATTCTCCCCGTGTCTGTGTGGGTTTAGGTGGATTGGCCATGGGGAAATACAGGGATAGGGTAAAGGAGTGGGTCTGAATGGCCTGCTCTTTGGAGGGTTGATGTGGGGCTGAATGGCCTTTTCCCACACGGTAGCGATTCTCTGACCTTTTTAATCAGAGGTGTTCAACCAACGGGAACAGTACCATCCTTTGGATGGGATTGGCTGTCTGTTTTGGCAATGCTGATAGACAGCGCCCCCTGTAGGCAGGCTCTGATCAAGGGCACAGTATAACTATGGTCATGAAAGTCCTGGATAGCTGCCTCTTCCTCCAGGGGCAGATAGTGGTTTGACTGGGCCTATATTCACTATTCAAGAAACATGAGGTGATCTGTTTGAAATGTATAACGTTCTAACAGGGCTGGACAGAATAGATGCACAGGGAGGATGTTTCCCCAGAGCGCAGGGTCTAGAACTGGGGTCACATTCTCTGGATATTGGGTAGACCATTTTGGACTGAGATAAGGAGGAACACCTTCACTCCAATGGAACTGTGGGCCTTAGTCAGTCCTGTTGTTTGGTTGGTTGGTTTGGAATGTAGAGTGAGACCAATACTAGGGGTTCAGTTCCTGCCCCCAGCCCAGCTAAGTTACCATTACTCCACCCAGTCTAAGCCCTCACCTGGGTGGTAGTCCTCAGGTTAAAACTGCTGCCCACTGTGTGTGGCTCTCTCTCTCACGAGAGGGTGGGACTGTGGGCGTTTTCACCTTTAGGGAACATGTAGAATTCTGCGCCACTGCAGGCTGAGTCACTTTGTAATATCAGGAGATTTTAAAGGCACCAAGGCCTAATGGGATGCAGCGGGAATATGAGATTGAGGTAGAGGATCAATCATGGTGAATGGTGGAGCAGGTTCGGTGAGATTCTTGTGAGATCTTGTGAGATTCGATGGAGCAACAAATAATAATGTGCCTATGAGAAAGTATATTCGGTTATGCTTCGATAAAGAACACACAACTGCACCACATTTCTGGGTTCATCCAGATCACTTCTTCACACACTGAAAACTCACAATTTTTCCCCTCTGTTACCGAGACTGGGGCATATACTGTGGCTCAGTGGTTAGCACTGCTGCCTCACAGCGCCAGGGACCCAGGTTTGATTCTACCCTCGGGTGACTGTCTGTGTGGAGTTTGCATGTTCTCCCCGTGTCTGTGTGGGTTTCCTCCGGGTGCTCTGGTTTCCTCCCACAGTCTAAAGATGTGCAGGTTAGGTGGATTGGCCATGCTAAATTGCCTGTAGTGTTCGGAGATGTGCAGGCTAGGTGGGTTAGCCATGGGAAATGCAGGATTATGGGGTAGGAGTGTGGGTGACATGCTGTTTGGTCAGTTTGGCCTTGATGGGCCAAATGGCCAGTTTCCGCACTGTAGGTTTTCTATGAAAACAAACACCCCCAGTGTGTCTGATCATTGCCCATGACCAAACATCCTCACTGCAAAGTCAGCGCTGATATTGTCACTGATTCCTTGGAATAATGGTTTATCTCAGTCCAGACATGGAGTGGAAACATGATAACCTGGAAACTAGGAACAGGAGGAGACCATTCAGCCCGTCGAACCTGCTCCACCATTCACCATGATTGATCCTCTGCCTCAATCTTATATTCCTGCTGCTTCCTATTAGCCCTTGGTGCCTTTAAAATCTCCTGATTATGCAAAGTGACTCGGCTTGCAGTGGCACAGAATTCTACATGTTCCCTAAAGGTGAAAACGCCCACAGTCCCTTTAGCGAATAAACCTACCATCCGGAAATAAATTTCAGAGTTCACCAGCTGGTCTGGTGATGATGGAAGCACAAGAGGATTCTGTTACCTGCTCTTTTTCAGTGCAGTCTCCACACTCTGCCCTTTGTATTTCCGATAGTAATCGATGAAGGAGAACGGTAAGGAGATATTGAGAGGGTTCAGTCTCTTGGGGGAAGCAGTCCTTTTCCGTGCCTCGAAGGCTATCATCAGATCTACCCAGGCTGCTGGGCGTTTTACCTTAAAATGCTCAATGTAATCGGAGCCAAAAATCTGGCACAGCAACTTCTCAAAAGCCAGGTCCACTCCAACTGCACCATAAGGTCCACCTGTGGGAGACAGGGCCAGTGTGACCGGGCAATGTTAGAGACATGGAGATGGAGAAAAGACAGCTGTGAGTTGTGGAGAGCCTCCTGGTCACAGATTCACAGCGTCATGGTTTATATGGCAATGCAGAGACAATTGCACCTTCTCTAGGCTAACCCATCAGGGCACTGCAAACATAACACTCACCGCTAAGCTAGATATGTTTCCAGGTTTAAGGGGACACGGGGAAAATGTGGGAATACAGTCATCCACGCTGGTCAGGTTCCTGAAACTGAATTGGTCCCATTTCCCAGCATTTGGCCCCTATCCCTCTAAACCCTTCCTACCTACATACCTGTCCAAATGTCTTTAAGTGTTGTAACTGTACCCACCTTTACCACTAGTAGGTTTGGCAGATGGCAGATCTGGCTCAAGGGGCCGAATGGCCTACTCCTAGTGTCCCTGACTAGCCTAATAACTCGAGGCCTGATAAATGTTTGGGAAACAGGGGACCACAGTCATAGAGTTAGTTATACAGTTTAGGAACACAGCCCTCTGACAAACACCTTCCTCACTACCCTATCTACCTGCGACTCCAATTTCAAGGAACAATGAACCTGTTCTCCAAGGTCTCTTTGTTCAGCAA